CACGATAGCAGCCAGAGGACCACACTCAGCTGACCCATCATCGTGACCTCCTGGCCACTGAGCAACAGGAAAAACAAAGCTTATTATACATATTTTTGAGGGACATGCCATGTCATTTAAACACAAAATATTCACTTGGCAGCATGTTTAGGACATAGTCTTGCATTTTAAGGCATTTCGGGGACTTTTTATTTTTATGGATATTTTCACGATGGTAAGGCTATAGTAAGGCATGTTTTGGGTGATTTTTGAAATATTCATAAAAAATACTTTTTGGACTTTTAAACACAAAATATTCACTTGGCAGCATGTTTTAGGACATAGTCTTGCATTTTAAGGCATTTCGGGGACTTTTTATTTTTATGGATATTTTCACGATGGTAAGGCTATAGTAAGGCATGTTTTGGGTCATTTTTCAAATATTCATATAAAATACTTTTTGGACATTTAAACACAAAATATTCACTTGGCAGCATGTTTTAGGACATAGTCTTGCATTTTAAGGCATTTCGGGGACTTTTTATTTTTATGGATATTTTCACGATGGTAAGGCTATAGTAAGGCATGTTTTGGGTGATTTTTCAAATATTCATATAAAATACTTTTTGGACATTTAAACACAAAACATTCACTTGGCAGCATGTTTTAGGACATAGTCTTGCATTTTAAGGCATTTCGGGGACTTTTTATTTTTATGGATATTTTCACGATGGTAAGGCTATAGTAAGGCATGTTTTGGGTCATTTTTCAAATATTCATATAAAATACTTTTTGGACTTTTAAACACAAAATATTCACTTGGCAGCATGTTTTAGGACATAGTCTTGCATTTTAAGGCATTTCGGGGACTTTTTATTTTTATGGATATTTTCACGATGGTAAGGCTATAGTAAGGCATGTTTTGGGTGATTTTTGAAATATTCATAAAAAATACTTTTTGGACTTTTAAACACAAAATATTCACTTGGCAGCATGTTTTAGGACATAGTCTTGCATTTTAAGGCATTTCGGGGACTTTTTATTTTTATGGATATTTTCACGATGGTAAGGCTATAGTAAGGCATGTTTTGGGTCATTTTTCAAATATTCATATAAAATACTTTTTGGACTTTTAAACACAAAATATTCACTTGGCAGCATGTTTTAGGACATAGTCTTGCATTTTAAGGCATTTCGGGGACTTTTTATTTTTATGGATATTTTCACGATGGTAAGGCTATAGTAAGGCATGTTTTGGGTGATTTTTCAAATATTCATATAAAATACTTTTTGGACTTTTAAACACAAAATATTCACTTGGCAGCATGTTTTAGGACATAGTCTTGCATTTTAAGGCATTTCGGGGACTTTTTATTTTTATGGATATTTTCACGATGGTAAGGCTATAGTAAGGCATGTTTTGGGTCATTTTTCAAATATTCATATAAAATACTTTTTGGACTTTTAAACACAAAATATTCACTTGGCAGCATGTTTTAGGACATAGTCTTGCATTTTAAGGCATTTCGGGGACTTTTTATTTTTATGGATATTTTCACGATGGTAAGGCTATAGTAAGGCATGTTTTGGGTGATTTTTCAAATATTCATATAAAATACTTTTTGGACTTTTAAACACAAAATATTCACTTGGCAGCATGTTTTAGGACATAGTCTTGCATTTTAAGGCATTTCGGGGACTTTTTATTTTTATGGATATTTTCACGATGGTAAGGCTATAGTAAGGCATGTTTTGGGTCATTTTTCAAATATTCATATAAAATACTTTTTGGACATTTAAACACAAAATATTCACTTGGCAGCATGTTTTAGGACATAGTCTTGCATTTTAAGGCCTCTCGTTTATTGGCCTCGGTTGCCGTGTTTAGGATTACAGGTATCCGTAGAATACATTTAATAATAATGCTCCGTGAGAGGAGGAAAGAAAATGTAAAGGAAGAATGAGTGAAAGTAGTAAGAAAAGTTTAAAACATTAAAACAAGATGGCGTAAATGCGGCCCGCGGAGCAACCAGAGGGCTGCTGCGGTCAGTATTAACGCCATCTTGTTTTAATGTTTGTACGTAAGTACGTCAACGTACTTTTGTGAGCCTGGTTTTCCAAACATGTATCCTATTAAAATAAAAATAAAATAAAAAAGAAACTCTTTTTGTGTTGTAAATCCTATGTGTGTATTTATTCAGTTCATTACTCCGAGCAATATTTATATTATAATGGAACTTATATTTCATTTAATATACTTTTTGTGTTAATACATTTCATTTTCCGTGAGAGGAGGAAATAAAATGTAAAGGAAGAATTAGTGAAAGTAGTAAGAAAAGTTTAAAACATTAAAACAAGATGGCGTTAATGCTGACCGCAGAGCAACCAGAAGGCTGCTGCGGTCAGTATTAACGCCATCTTGTTTTAATGTTTGTACGTAAGTACGTCAACGTACTTTTGTGAGCCTGGTTTTCCAAACATGTATCCACACCCATCACACCTAGTACTCCTCTTGTCACAACAAACCTTGGGTTTAACTCAACCTTGCAGCTCCTTTTCTCTACATCTGCATATTTTCAGTTTTAGCTTTAAGCAGCATTTTATGTTCAAGCTGGTTATATGTTTTAGCACACCTTTATAATTCCTTAAACATGAATATATATATCAAGCTGGTTATATGTTTATCCACAAAAATATAACATTTTCTGTTTAAGCCCATGTAGAGAACAACAATAAAATAAAACAAAAATCTTGTTGTAAAAATGTGTTTTTTTGATTCAAGAGACTTTTATATGTCAATCTGTTGTTTGGGAAATGCTCTGCCTACCATATAATATCATTACATACAAAGCATGTATTTGTTACAACATGAATTTCATACCATTATGTCAATGATATTTCTTTAAATCATGAATTAAATTTTATATTCTATATATTACTTGTGTATTAAGAAAAAAGAAAAAGTCTTATATTGTATCTAAAATGCGTAAGACAGACTTACCTGAGGGTCCACTTTCATGATGTCCTTTTCTTCTGGCACCTTTCTCGGTGGGTACTTCAACATGGAGGGGGTGACTTGTACTAGTAAATTCACAAAATAAATAGAGAAAAAACATAATTTGTATCTAAGGGAAGAATGGATCCTGAGCCTTTGAATGGCCAGTAGTTCGTCACTAAAAATAGAAAATACACTTTGTCAGTTGTCCTTTCAAAGCAGTTCTACATAAACAATAATAATAATTAGATAATATATGTTTTTAAAGGAATACTTACTAAGATTTAGTCTTGTGAAGCCGTGCCTGAGTGAGATTGAACTGTTCCTCTGAAAGCGTTGACATAAAACTAATTTTGGTTAGTGAAATAAAATTTGACAACAAATTGTTTCGTTTCTGTATGCGATTTATTAATAGCTATGACAAAAATCAATTGACAAGTTGGTGTTTGTATTTATACTGTATGTAGAGATTCCACTGTTAGGATGAAGGAAAACGCAAAAGACAAAACAAAGAGTTTTAGTTAATTTTATTAAGTTTAATGATCACAATACTAAAGGACAAGTAATCACAATAAACACTTTCTCCTTCAAACCAAAAAAAAAAAAACAAAGAAAAAAAACCCCAGAGAAAAATCAAACACAAACACACGAGGACGCTCTGCAAACATCATTGTCTACACTTGACACGTCCCAACGTTGCGTCTCATCAAGCTCTGCAGGCAGATGACTATAGTCTAGTGTTACACTGGAAATGGTGTTAACGATATTACAATAAAATTTACAGCATTCCCTGGACAAATTACTGTTGGACTTCTTAGCCTTAGACCAGGATGTGTCAGGGACAGGTTACTGCTTTAGTGCAGTGTTGACGGGAAGTTTACCCGGATGACAGGTACTGAATGACCTTTCACCTCATGCTGAACAGGGACTTTGACGAGTCTTGGTTGTTTTGTCACAAATAGGGTTCTATTTAAAGTGTTTGGACATGATTTTTTTTTTTAATCAGGTAAAATAAATTGTAAGAAGTCAAATTAGAGCTGGAATTCTCTTTTATTGTGTTTTTTAATTTCAGCAAGAATCCTGATCCTACAGGGGTCTGCACAGGTCTATTTAAAGTGTTTGGACATGATTTTTTTTTAAAAGTGTGCATTAACAGAAATTGTTTTAAGTTAATGAAGATAAAATATACCATTTGTTGTCAGTTTGGCTAAGCTGTAGTTAAAACACCTGCTTAAAAAAAACAAATTTTGGACACTCCGTGTGTGCTATTTGGGTGCAACTGTCGGCAACTTGCAGACGATCCTCGACTCACTTTGCAAACCGTATCTGAAAGCAAAAGCAACAGCAACAGCCCTTTCAACCACCGTGAGTGCACGAGGCAACACAAACACAATGATAAATATATATACACAAGCATTGCGTCTTAAGTACAATACACATCTTAAGAGACATTCTCCCACTTTAGTGGCCCCTTCTGAAAATCAAAGGCAAACCCTGTCAGTTCGCCATACGCGCAATAGGAATAATAGCCAGTAAAGTCAAAAGGCCATTCAACGTACGTCAACGTGGAGGCCTTTCTTAACAGGCTTCCAGCTGTCATAGCGTTGCTGTTTTAAAGTGGTATTACTGAATCATACTCAAACAGGCTTAAGAGTTCAAAAAGTGAATTAACATTGTCATGAGACAAGTTCTATTTCCAGAAAACACACCCATGATGTTTTTGTCCTGTTCTTTTCTTAGACATTATTGTTTAGGGCAAACTAATGTGTAAAGAAGCAACAAGTGACTGTCGGGCGATTTAATATTAAAGGTTGGGGTCGCTTTCGTCGGGTATGTGAGAAAATCAAATTACATTTTTGTCACCACTAGAGGGCGCTCAACAAAGGTATGTCGCTCCAATATTAAACATCTGACCATTCACTGTGTTATACGTACAGTCAAGTAAATGAAAACATACCTAAATGCTTTTATTATTTCAGTTATTCATACTAGTGCTAGTCGATAAATCCTAGTATCTGGTACGTCTTAAAAACTGTCCGTTTTGGATTTAAAAAGGTCAACTCAAAAACAACCAATCAGCATTAAATATAAGCCAGAAATATTTCTACAAATTAAGACCTATTTCATTCCATGTTGTGTCTTGCACATCACATAATTATCTGTGTGGATAAAACAAAAGTGTCAAAGCAGAGAACTGTCGCTTTGTCTCTCGGAATATTTAGCTGCGTTACTTTATCCAAGGATTACGGAAAAGTTACCAACACATTTTTTTTTTACGTGTGAACGCATATACGAGCAGCAGTAAGTGACAGATAAGGTGCAGATAAAATATATTCAGGTATCAACACTTGAATGATTGAAAATGTCAATACTGAGTACATGTCAGTGAAGATGTAAGTCGAGTGGCTGGAAATTTTATTAAATGCGGAGATCCCTTCACCCTGATAGTAGCTTCTAAAACAAGTAATGTAAGAATACAAACAGTTGAAATTTAGAGGTGGCCGGTTGATGTTTAAATATCAGGTCATGCACTAGAACAGTGTTTCTGAAAGCTTTTTGAGCACGAGCACACGTTTTACATCAGAAAAATCCCGCGATGCACCTCCAAACAAAACTCTCCCAACAGCGTACGTTTGTATACAGAGATCTTCTGGTTTCGATTCACTTACGCATTCTTTTTTTTAAAGTGTGAAATATGGGCCTGTTTAGTTGAACACAACGCTGATGCGGTCGCAGGAATTGAAGACAGACGTGAAAATCGTTTTCAACAGCTCCGAGTCTCCTTTTTCAGTTTTCATCGCCATGTGACTTAGTGAAAACATCTAAATCTTCTACCTGTGACTGGCGTACAGACTTTTAAAGGGAGGTGACTCACAGCCAGACAACACCTATAATCCTGCATAAGCACGGCTACGACAGGACAGCTTCAGTTGCATGGATTTCACAAAACTACACCAGCGCCTTCGTGTTTGTTGTGAGATTAATCTGTAGTTAAGAAAGTTAAGAAAGAAAGACAAACATTTTTCTTTGTCTGGACTACCGGAAATAGTTACATCTCATACATCCAGTTGCTCTCGATGTAACTATTTTTGGATTAAATTACCTGGTCAGACACTCACGGATAGCTTTGCTACATCACCACATCCTTTCTGGTAAGACTGAAACTCTCAGACGCACCTTCATTTGTCTCATTCTCTCCTCTACATTTTCATTTCCCCTCTAACGTCTGCCAATTTCCTCGACGTCCCAACGTCCCAGGTCTCTTTGAACTCTCGAACCGTTCATTGAACAAGAACACCTTTGTACTGCATAAACAGGAGGAATCGTCGAAAACGTAAGAGCAAAGACATGAACTCAAGTTAGAAATTGACAGCAAACCCTTTTTTTTTTTGGTTTTACCCTGTTTTGCCACTCGAACACGTGATCACAAACACAGAATAAATAGCCTTAAATGCTAACACAGCCTACGTATTGTTTACTTATTTTGTCAACTTGTTTATGTCGAGTACGGAGGACGATGACGGCGAATAGTGAATGACTACTGTTTTGTTACAGAGGCAAAGACCAACAGTTACAGGGAAAGGGTCACAACGAACTGGCAATGAAGAGATACTCGGGGTTTTTTTTTCTTCGCTGCTCAGGTGACACACGTATCATTTTTGAGTAAAGTATCGCCGGATAAGAGCAAGCACCACCAGGACAGATGCTTAATGTAGAACCTATGACTCCAAGTCATAGGTGAGGTTTGGAGAAAAGGGTGCGCACAGGTGATGAATTCACACCAAATCTCTACTTTCCCTTCACATAAATTCGCAAACATCTCGGGGTGTCGTTGAATCGTTGCGCTAAAGACATGACAGGAACGAAACGAGGTTGACGGTGTTTTAAAGATCAGCGCCTGCTGAGGGAAATGACTGAAAAGCGACATCTATGAGATAAGCTAAAACTGTGGGACAGCACAGATTTTAGGGGCAAATCTTTTTCTTGATTTGACACGGGGTTCAAATGTCAGGGTCTGTTGCTGTCCTTCCGACCAGGGAGCAGAGCATCGGTGTTCGCCGATTCAAACAGGAACGCACTGCGCGGTGACGGTTGGCGGCGGTGCTTTTTCTTGTTCTTGGATGCGCAGGGAGTAAGAAAGGTCTCATGGGCGGGGTTGGTTCTTTTCGCGATGGGCAGGCATGGTAACGATGTCAGCGCCGTGGTCCGTGCGGGAGCGGGCATTCTTGTGGAAGTTGAGCTTGAAAGACTCAATCTGCAGCAGAGAGGTCGAGATTGGGGAGAGGAAGGGCGGGGATAAAGGGAACGTATAAGATATAAAATCAGGAAAGGGGGGGGGGTGAGGGTGGGGAGAGGCGATGTGGTGGGTGTGTGGAGTAGAAGGGTGACGGG